ACCCCTCCTCCTCCTCCAGGGAGGATGACTTCTCACTTTCTCTTTCTCTATCTCTGGCTAGTGTATGCACTCTATGGCAAAAATATGAAGGAAAAAAAGGCTCAAATTCACTGTTATATAAATAAATATGAGATTAGGGAATCAAGGTTATATTTGTGGCATATTTAGGAACCAAATGTTGGTCAAATGTCCTTGTGGCTGATTTCCAAAGTCTGAGCATGAAACTGCTAGAATTGTGCTGGTTCACTGATATTCATCAAGTATGTGCTATGGGTTATGTATAGGGCAAGACACTGAGGAATGAGCAAAGAATTAGACCGTGTCTGTGTCTTCATGGGTTTCACATTCTCTTGGGGAATAACAAATAGATATAAAATCCATCAATAGATGGTGGAAACAACACACAGTCATTGGAGGATTAGATGTCCCCCAAAAGTTCATATGTTAGGATTTGGTTGTATTATAAACATGTTAAGTAAAAACTTAATCCTAGACCAGTCCATGGCCTGGTGGTTAAGGCAGCTGGATTCCACATGGCCAAATTCACAGTTCGAGTCCTTGACCTAGCAGCTAGCAGAACACACCAAGCATGTGTGCATGTGTACGTACCGAAAATCCTGAAGAGAGAGACGAAGGAGAAAAGACTGTGGCATGGAAATGAAAATGTCCCTTGGGGGGGGGAGGTACACTTTCTCTTTCTCCTCCCAGTGAGCACACGTGTCTTTTAGCAATTTAAAAAAATATATATATCCTTCATGATGTCCCAGAATAGCGCATTTAGGTGTGACAAAGTCATTAGAATGGACCTCTGATGGAGCTCTGTTGCATATATAAGGACAGGAAATATGGCAGGCAGAGCCCACATGGATATAGACCAGAACAAAGAGAAACGCAGACAACTGCTTTGCTCAAGATCCTGCCCTTTGCCACATTGTAGCCTCACCAGAAGTTGGTCCATGAACCTTGGATTTCCAAACCATGAGCTGAATAAACATCTATCTATTTATAAATCACCTATTTCTGTAGGAATGCAATAAAGTACTAAGCAATATTTTATAGGGGCAGTTAACATATAAAATCAACTGAATTTAAGTAAAGGAGATAATTCAGAATGATGCAGAGGGTCTCATTCAGCCAAACAGCTGAAAGTTTTATGAATTAAAAACTGAGGTTGCCCAGAAAGGAAGAAATTCTGCCTTTAGATTATATCGTTAGCTTGTGCCTGAATTGGCAGCCTTCTGGCCTGCCCTCTGGATTTTGGACTTGTCAACCGCCATGAAAACTCTATTAGTGTGACTGATGTATAAGGAAGTCTATTCTCTCTGCTTCTATGAAGAACCATGACTGATCCAGTCCCCCCAAAGAGTTGTTTTTAAACTTTTTCTGAGAGATTTTTGCTATAGAGTATGTGTGCTCACCAGTGAGACACAGAGAGAGGAAAACAAGCATGAAATCACCCCTAAGGAAGAATGGCTATGCCACAATCCCTTCTCCTCTACTCGTCTCCTGGGATTCTGGTCACATAAGTACATGTGCCCAGTGTGAGTTTCAAGCTGCCAGGTCCGGGACTCAAACTGTGGTTGGTACATGGGAGTTCAGCACCTTAACCAGTATGCCACCTGCTGGCCACCCAAACAGTTGCTTTTATGTGCAACTACTGATAAGGTCTATCTGGCCAAAGTGTACTTTCTGGTTCTTCTGAGGGACTGCTGAAGGTAAGGGGCTTTACGACCTTCATTGAGTTCTGTGATCATACCCAGCACACGACTGCATCAAACACAGTGGTCCACACGCACCAGCGTATGGTCTCACCTGTCCACGTTCAGTTCTTACTACTTACTAGCAAAATGCCTCACCTTATTGAATTGTTGCTTTCTCAGCTACAAAATAAGGATAAAATACCTGCCTCAGGTTGCTGTGAAGATGAAATGAAATGATGTACGTCGAGTGCCTGGCTCAATCAATATTGGCATCTGCTCCCGTCTCATTCAATCTTTTTTATGTTTGGCTTGTTTCTTTCATGAATTCCCTGAGCCTAAGCCTGTCTGTCATTTATTTAATAGAAATTTATTACTTTCTGTACTTTTAGTCCCAATCCATGAAGTTAGTGCCTGCAATACAAGTAGCTTTGCCTTTAGCAACACTCTGCTCCTCTCTGTATCCTTTTCAATGTGCATCTCCCCTCCTCAAATACCTGAGGAGGGTGTCTTAGGATGGGAAGCCTACTGCAAAAGGTGTGTATTCCTATTCCGCCAGCCACTTGGTTCCATATCACTTGCTATAATGTGATCAAACTCATCTATGTCTGCTCTGAATACTCAGTATGACACCATCTACTTCACAATCCACAGTCAGTTTTATTGTGTGTTCTTCCCGGAGTTTGATGAGTCCACCGAAATGGATCCAGTATTGTTATTGAAATGTTTCCTCTTTTGCTTACTGTCAGGCAGAATCCTTCCCAAAATCTTCATTTTCAAACTGACTAAAAGAGGCTTGCTCAAAGGTTACTGAAGCATAGTTTTAGTCATTATAGAAAACAAAGAACTTCATGACAGTACATGTTTTCAATTGCTCAGCATGGTATATGGGAAGAAATACTTTGCCCTGGTTAAAGGTGGTCAACTTTCTTCTGACCTTCCATTGAAACCTCAGGAGGGTATGTTTTGCAAAGACAATGGAACGGACATTCTGAGGACTGGACTGGATGCTAATCCTTGTAGTGCTCTATAGGCATATACTGAATTTTCTTCCTGTAAATCTCTGCATGTGAGACATCTTCAACATTGTGACCTTTTTTTACATTAATCATTTTTCTTTTTCTCTTGGAGAGATTTTTGCTGTAGGGCATGTGCACTTGCCAGAGAGACAGACAGAAAGAAAGCAAGAAACCACTCCCTCCCAAGGGGGGATGGCCACACCACAATCCATTCCCCTCCATTCTCCTCTCAGGATTTTGGGCACACAGGTACATGTGTTCCTGAGTTTTAAGCTGTCGGGTCTGGGATTGGAATAGCAGTCAGCTATGTGGAAGTTCAGTGATGTAACCATTATATAATCTGCTGGTCCCAAGACATTAATCATTTTTAAAAGCAATTTTTTTAGAATTGTTTATTTAATTTTATTAATTAATATTATTGTTACTTTCAAATTTTCTCTAGGGCACATGTGCTCACCAAAGAGAGACAGAGAGAGAGAGGAAAGTGAAAGCGAATAGCCAGGTCCACTCAAACTGCAGTCAGTCACTTGGGAGTCCAGAGCCTTAACTACCATGCTACCTGCTAGCCCCTATATTCATCATTGATTCAACTCAGAAGAGGTTAGTTTCTTCTCTTGTCTTCCCACAGAACACTCCAGTTACTGCCTTTTGTACTGTACCATGCAATTCACTTGTGACAGCTCTTTGGCGCTGCATGTTTAGATGGTATTTAGGCTCAGCTACACAGGAAATTCCACTGGGCAGGGTGAAGGTCTTGTTCATTCCTGTGTTCTGCTGCCTAGCCAGTGCTCCACACTCATCAACCATTCACTACTTATTTTATGAATGAGCCCCATATATAGCTGATGGTCAGTACGTAGGGAAGTGTACGATTATCGACAATAAACTATGGCACGAGGACCCGTATGCATGTGTGTTTTACCACAATTGCCTGAACATCATTTCAATCTATGTCAGAATCCTCATTTGTGCACAGAGAATTTTATCTTCCCCAAGTTAGACTAGGCAAAGTTAAAGGTAAAGTTGTATTTAGAGTTTCACATAAACTATCAGCCACATCTCTTAGAAATGTAGGTATCTGATAGACCTTAGGGGTTGTCCTGCGGGAGAGATTGTTGACAAAGCATTTGTTCAGGTCACTGTTGTTTGGCTTTTGCTTAGATTAATTTTTTTTCTTAGACTTTTTTTTGGAGCGGTTTCGATATACGGTGCGTGCGCTCGCCAGGAAGACAGAGAGAGGCAGAGAGACAGAAAGCGAGAAATCACCCCCTGGGGATTGGCCACGCTGCAGTCCCTTCTCCTCCATTCTCCTCTCAGGATCTTTGACACACACGCACACATGCCTGGCACGAGTTTAAGTCACTGGGTCAGGGACGCAAAGAACCATGGTCGGCTACATGGGAGTCCAGCGACATAGACATTATGCCAACTGCTAGTCCCATTTTTATTTTTAGACTTTTAAAATGTTTTAACTTAAGTTTTTGAATTTGTAACATACAAAGAGACTTCAAAAAGTCTGTGGAAAGATAATAGAATGGGTTTATTTTGGTGTAAAATAATTTTGAAATCTGTGTCATTTTTGGATAATACACATTTCTTTAATTTTTTTGGAGAGTTTTTTTTTGCTATAGGGTACATGCACTCGCCAGAAAGACAGAGAGAGACAGAAAGACAGAAAGCAAGAAGTCCCCCCCATGGGGGTATAGCCACACTGCAATCCCTTCTCCTCCATTCTCCTCTCAGGATCTTGGGCATGCATGCACATGCACCTGGTGTGAGTTGAAGCCACCGGGTCCGGGACTTGAACCAATGCAAACTACATGGGAGTTCAGTGGCATAGCCATTGTGCCAACTGCTGGCCCCACGTTTCTATATATATATTTTAAAACCCCTTGTATTCACATAAAACCTAAGTTAAAAAACAAAACAAAACAAAAAAACAAGCTACAGAATGAAATGCAGTCTCCTAACTCCAGAGCTCTTGTCTGCTGAGCAAACTCCTTCCAGCTCCCAGGGTTTTTTGTTAAACATACACAAACATAAATATAAATAATCATATTTCCCCCCTTTTTTGCAAAATATTACTTAAAAGTTTACTCATCATTGCTGAAGGAAATTCAGAACAAAGCAGAAAAGCTGTCAGATGCACAAATAGAAGAAACTGAATGAATCCAAAGAAGAAGGGAAACAGGAGGAAAATAAAAGCATAGAGTAAGTTGCTTAAGAGTATTTCATCTTTTTTAATTTTTTTGTTTGCTTATTTTGCTTTTACATCGTCTTTCAGCAAGGAGGAGGAGAGAGCGTCTGTTCGGCAGTGACTGAGGAGGCTGGCAAGCCTATGGGTATCTGTGTGCTTCAGTACAGATATGTTTGGTCATCAGTCTTTCCAAATAAAAAGCCGAAGGCCTGCCAGGAACATGAAGAACAATAGCAGCCAGAACAATTTCTACAGCCTGTGGTCAGAGAATTATGTGAAATGGCACCAGTGCTCTTAAACACGATGGCCATCCTGTTTTGTTTCTCCATCTCAAAGTTCATATTTTTCTTTGCTACCTTTCTTCTGTCATCTGGGCTATATTAATGGAGAAATGGGGAGGAACCACAGTAATTATCTGGAAAATTAAGTGGAAAAAAAGTCCAAATTACTTTCCCCTAAAAAGACTGGGCAAATCTAAAAGCCAATATTTCCTATGATTGAGATGACTTTAAGTTTTCGGAACATATAATTACTTTTAGGAGGATCAAGTTACATTTTTAAAAGCACAGACATGGCAAAGTTCTTGTCTAAATTGTAGGCTATTACTGAGATCTGTCTTAATTTGTTTTTATTAAAATCCAGTCTTTTCCAGCTATCTAATACATAACAGTTCAACTGATAATGACTTTAGATCGAGGCAGAGATATTGTACATTTTGAACAAAATGTGGCCCCACAAACCTATTTCCACTGCCACCACCATTGTCTGGTGCCAAGCTGAACAGTTACATATGTTGTGCCCTACTGACAATTGGCCAGGGGTCCTGCCAGAGGCTGAGATTCAGTCTGTACCCAGTCAACTATGTCTTGTGCAGCAGGGCTATGATAGCACACAGGAAGAGGGTACTATTTCCTATTACTGACTACAGAAGGCAGTGTCTTCTGATGCTCACAAAAGCACTGTATGTCCTGGCTCAGTCCTGAAGTCAAGCACTCTCAAGCCACTGACAGCAATAGGTCCCGTTGACAGTCATATTTACATAGGAGACATGCATCAGGTTCATCAGGTACATTAGACCTGTTGGCTCATGCTTAATTATTACTAATGCCACTTTCACTTTTAAGAGTGTTTGGGAGGTATGGTGGTTGGGGTGCTGGACTTCCATATGGCCAACCATGGTTTGAGTTCTGGACCTAGTGGCTTGTTTTCTCACTTTCTCTCTCTCTCACTCTCTCTGGAGAGCACATGAGCCCTATAGAAAATTAAAAATAATAATGACAATAAACAAAATTAAAATAAATAATTCTTTGAAGAAAAAAAGAGTGTTTGGGACTGGATGATCAATTATATTGGACACCCTAATCTTGAATGCCCTGTGCAACCTTTGTTTCCTTAGCAAGGATGTTAGCCTACAGGGCAAATTCAATCACGTTCAAGCACACACAATAGCCAAGATGACTACTGGGCCGAGCTGTGGCACAGTGGTAAAAAAAAAAAAAGGGGGATGCTCTGTAAGTGGTCTCAAGTGGGAAGGTTCCAGATCAAGTCTGGTGACCTTCCTGAGTGTGCTGGACATGTGTGTGCCCATGATCTAGGGATGGCTGAGACCCTGTTGGGGGTGTATGTGTGTGCACTCTCTCTCTTTCTCTAGTTCATGGGAGAAACATGATGTTTTAAAAAATTCGAAAGAAAAAAGGAAGGAAGGAAATGGATGTCATGCCAGGGCATAAAATCTGGCTGCTTTGTTTTCTCTTGTGCAATTGCCTGTGTCCATGCATACCGGGGACTCTGTTTTCAATTTGGCAACTTGGGCCAGAGACCTGTGCAGATTCTAAATAAATCAGGTAGTAGTGCAAGGGCTGACACCCTTTCTCTGTAAAAGAGTGAGGATTAGGGACCAGAAGGAGGCACTGTGGTTGAGGTACTAGACTCCCACATGGCTGATTGCGGTTCCAGTACCAGACTTAGCAGCTTGAAACTCACACCAGGTGCATGTGTGTGTGTGTGTGTGTGTATCCAAAATCCCAAGAGGAGAGTAGAGAAGGAACTGTGGTGTGGCCATCTTCCCAATGGGGGGTGATTTCTCACTTTCTCTCTCTCTGCAAGTGATTTCTCCACTTTCTGTCTCTCTACAAGAGCCCATGCCCTATGGCAAAAAATATCTTTTTTTTTTTTTTAAGTGAGGATTTTTTTTCTTTTTTTTCAGATTTTTGCCATACAATCTGTGCTGTAATGACTCAGGTCTGCCACTGCATTTGAAGAGCAGTCACAGACAATGCATAAATGAATGAACCTGTCTGCGTTCCAACAACGTTTTCTTCACAAAAGCAGGTGGCAGGCCAGGTTTGGCTAGTGGGCCCTAGTTTACCAATCCCTACAGTGAGAGAGCTCACCTGCCTTCTGCTCTTCCCCTTCAGCTATTTATTGGAAAATGTATCCTTATCATGATGATTTACAGCAAGATCCCTAGAGTATCTTTCCATAGTTAACGAGGCATTCTTGGTTTCTATGGCAGAAAACCATTCAGAGATCTTTAAAGCTGATTTTAAGAATCCTATTACACCTCAAGATTTATCCATAATTTAACAATTTATTCTGCAGGCATCCCACTCGAGGGAGAATGTACAGCACTGAAATGTTATGGATCAATACAGTGGCTTGATTTCAAATGGCAAACTCTTTTAGCAAGAAAAGATGCCCATCCAATAACTCATCTAGGATAAATACCCTGTAAGATCACAAAATAAAAAATAGATTATAGGTAATCATGAAAACGTTTGAGAATAAGAAATTTGATGTTTTGGCTGCTATTATTTCAGTGTTAAGGTGTTCCTTTTCCTCTTGCTCTCTTATATTTATGGGGGCACTGTAGTGAGTACAGCTTTGAAATCAATGAGATAGTCAGGTATATTTGGATCTGTGAACAGGTAAAAATATTGCAGAAGTATAGCTATTTCCTCTATTTTTAAGTTATTCATTTATTTCTTCCATGTAACAAGTGTGTGCACCAACACACACACACACACACATGAAAACCTAGGACCTCTCCTATGTGGGTCTAGTTAGGTTATGGCTGCTCCAATACCTGATACCTGATCTCTTCTCCCCCATTTTACCCTATCTATCCATTAAAACAAACAAAAAAACAATTATCCATATTTTCCTCTTACAAAAAGCCCTGAAACAAAACATTGGCTGACTTTGGGACTAGCAGTTAGCGTTAATGGCTATGTCGCTGGACTCCCACATAGTCAACTGCAGTTCGAGTGCCGGACCCGGTGACTTAAACTCATGCCGGGCTGGTGTGCATGTGTGCCTAAGATCCTGAGAGGAAAATGGAGGAGAAGGGATTGCGGTGTGGCCATCCCCCCCGGGGGGTGATTTCTTGCTTTCTATCGCTCTGTCTCTGTCTGTCTGGCGAGCGCACACACCCTGTAGCAAAAAAACTCTCAAAAACAATAAAAAAAAACATTGGCTGACTTTAACAGTAAAACATACTATCTATTGGCACATAACTCAATTACTGATTCCTCGATTATGGAGAGTTCATAAAAACTAAGTAAACGAGGTTTAATGGAGAAGGCCCTGGGTAAGCCTTACCCCAAGAAACAAGTAAACCACAGGTTAATGAAAAGTGTCAAATGTTGGCTTTAAAACCACAGAGAAAAGAAAACATTCCAGAAGGTTAATGAAAAGTGTCCAAGGTTGGTTTTAAAACCACAGAGAAAAGAAAACATTCCAGCCTTTTCTGGAGCTACCACCTGCAATCACCTATGGTCAAGAAAAGTCATAAACCCTTGAGAAATGACCACCCCATCCAGACCTGAGCTCATGGAGTTTCCCATTACCTTCCCTAAGATAGAGGCTGTAGAAAGAGATGCTGCCTGCAAAAAGTGTGAACCTATTCAGGTCTGGGACCTGGGTACTCTTGCACAGCCTTAATAAACCTATATTCTGCTTGCATTCCTGTCTCTGGTAAATTATTTTACCACTGGCGTGCCAGTATCAAGGAAGGCATTATGTTTTTCCAGATTAGTAATGCCTACAGGACATGTATTTTCAAGTTTACATCCTAAAGAAGACATCACCGTTATCACTTATGGCTCTTCAGCATATCTTCATGAAAGCCTATGGACTGGATCGACTCCTGACAATTCTGTTAAGCTTCCAAAACTGATACTTAAAATCCTGGTGTGAAGATATGAATGACTTTTTAAATCTATCCCTCTGGACTACAGAGATACCAGTCACATTAGAAGAGGACAGTTTTACTAGTTCTCTGTTTCTACCTCTTTATTTTGCCCCTCCTCTATTATTTCTCGGAGGTCTTTTATTCACTGTGTAGGAGCCATGGATTCTCCCTTCCCTGAGGTGTTCTTGAGGGATGCCTGAGGAAGAAAAGATTGTAGAACAAAACACGCAAGCAAAATACAGCCTGAGCACGGGGTGTAACGCATAGAGGAGTCACACAATCACACGTAAGGCTTTCTCTAGAACAGCTTGTTATCTGCCAGCCTAAATCTTAAAATGTCTTTAAATGTTTCCTGAGCAATTCATGATAAAGCATTGCACTAAGAAATGAAGCTTTAAAAAAAAGTTCAAAAATATTTCTCGCAGGAAATGCACCCTGATTGCTCTCTCTGTCCTGTATTAAAGCCAAATTTCTATCTGTAGAGGAAGGACCTTTTGTGTTGTTTTGTCCCCCACCCCCAACCCACTAACATTATTATTAGGTTGCAAACAATAGCTTTTTTGTTACAAGGCAGGAATAAAGGAGTCTAAAGTCAGCAAACAATTGTGTGATCACTGGTTAGCCTTGTATCCCAAAGTTGTTAAAAAAATAAAAGTTACGGTATTTACAAAGCCTGTCACCCAACTCAAATTGAAAGATAAGGGAAAGTCCAGGAATCCAGGACCAAAAAACCTTCGCTATTCTATTTATTCAACTGACAGATTCCCACAAGGATGTGACAATTTTAAAGCATGTTTTCTTGCTTTATTCACCTTCCCATAGTCGAGAGAGGTATAGTTTCTGATCTTTTTAGATTTCAGTCATTTATTGTTCTGAACGGGGGCTAATTAGAATATGAGTCTGTAAAATGCTGATGGCCTTAAAAATAAGCAGGCATCGTTTTCTTTCATTTCGTTTAGATCTTTGTAATTTCCATCCCCTTAGGTGAAGTCTGAAAGTTATCTCTTATCTCAACCAGGAGATGTCACTGTAGTTGGATCAATTGACTAACAGAACAATTCGAGATATTCTGAAAATGGTTTGGATGTTAAAAACTTCCTAAGGAAACTTCTATACATGTATGGTAAGTAGCATTCTGGAGTGCAAGTAGACTCTCTCTGCCCAATTCTGTTTTCAATAGCTGACAGAGAGAACTTGGTGTTACACTCCAGATGAAAGAGAATAGGTATTTCTTCTTTGCTACAATGCAAATATGCTGGAACAAGACAGCATCATAAACTCAATGACTGATTCAATTGGGGGCATAAAGGTTTCCATGGACACAGGTATGAGAGAGCTTTGTTTCCAAAAATGCTTTCCCATGGAAGTGAAAGCAGGATCAAGTATGTGCACAGAATAAGTGAATAAAAAGGGAGAGGCTCAGGATTTAAAGTTGCTAGGTGTTCATGAAGGAGTGGTGATGTTGCTGTTTTTATCTAAGACAATACTTCAGATTGCAGAAACTCTAAATCAGTCAGATCTTTTGATTCAGATGAAAGATCAAGTTCATCTTGTTCACTGTTGAACAGTGTCTGCCAGAATCTGGCTTAAGAGAAGTATTAAAATATTTGTACAGTAAATTATCCAATGGGTGAAACTACATTATTTTGTTTTTATTTCCAGAGGGTATGCACATTCACCAGAGAGAGAGAGAGTGAGAGAGAGAGAGAGAGGGCAAACGCACCCCTCAATGGAGTGTGATCATGCCACAATGACTTCTCTTCTATTTCTCCATCCTGTTGGAATTTGGGCCATGCATGCGCACACAGATAGAGAGTTTTTCAAGCATCTGGGGATGGACTTTGAACAATAGTTGGCCAGGTGGGACCCTGCCTCCTTAACTACTAGGCCACAGGACTGGCCTGAAATGATATTACCATCATAAAGACAAAAACTAGGTATATATAAACTTTGAAAAGTTACTGTGTGCTCTACCAAACTCCTACAACACTTCTACCCACAGGATTTGTGTGTTTCTGTTTGTGGTGGATTAAGTGGTGGTCCCCAAAAAGATATGCTTGTGCTGGAATTCCTTGCACCTGTGAATGTGACTTTAATTGGAGATAGAGTCTTTTAAGATGGAATTAAAAGAAGGGGCTTAGAATAAGTTCATCTGGATTACCCAGGTGCATGCAAACCCAACTACCAATGTCCTTATAACAGACATCTAGAAGAGGGACACAGAGGAGAGAGCATGTGAGGATGAAGGCAGAGATCAGAGTCCTGAAACTTTAAGTCAAGGAATCCCTGGAGCCATCAGAATCTGGGAGATGCAGGAAGGATTCTCCCTGGAGCCTTCTAAGGGAATACAGCTCTGGTAACACCTGCATTTCAGACTTCTGGCCTGTAGACTATGAAAGAATACATTTCTGTTGTTTTAAACCACCAAGTTTTCAGCAATTTGTTACAGCAGCCTTTGGAAAGAAATGAACCACTTCACATGGCTGTCATGACTCCCAGATATGATAGCATGGCATGAACTGCTAGTGCTGACCTAGGGGAAGGGCATTCCATCTGCCTGCTGAGGCAGGTGCTGCAGTTCCCCTTCCCTCTTGCCATGTCCAGAAACTTGCTCACACACGGGGCTATGCTGACCTAGAAGAACATTCTTCTGTTTCATATCTTCTCCTACCTCTATTTTCGATCCTGATCTACCCTATTCCTATTCTTGCTCCTGTCCTCCATCTTTCTATCCAGCTAGATCACAGGCCTTGGAGAAGATGGACTGAAGGGTTGGGAATTTCCCTAGGGTGACCATAGGAGTAGTTGTCAGCCAAAGGGCCACCCAGTCTATGCCACAGTGGTAGGAAAGGAGGCCTCTCATTCAAACTGCTTCTGTATCTGATAAAGGACATAGTCCAATGGATCTATCCACATGGGCTCCTGTCTCTTAAGTTGAGTATTGGGGTGGAGGGGGTGGGAAGATGCTGTTGATAATGGAAAAGGCAAGGTACCTGGGTCTACTTCCCAGATTCCTATAGAAAGCTGGAGGTCTTCCATCTAGTCTGATTTGAGCCTTGTCAAAAACCTTTACCTCCCAGGGGACCAGCAGTTAGCGTAATGGCTATGTCGCTGGACTCCCAGGTAGTCGACCGCGGTTCGAGTCCCGGACCTGGTGGCTTAAACTCACACCAGACGCGTGTGCTTGCATGCCCAAGATCCCGAGAGGAGAATGGAGGAGAAGGGATTGCGGCGTGGCCATCCCCCCTGGGGGATAATTTCCTGCTTTCTGTCTCTCTGTCTCTCTCTGTCTGTCTGGCGAGCACACACGCCCTATAGCAAAAATCTCTCTAAATAAATAAATAAATAAATAAAAACAAAAAACAAACAAACAAAAAACACAAAAAACCTTTACCTCCCAGGAAGGTGATTCCAAAACACTGTCATTTGGGATTTTAAAGAGCTATTTAGGACTCTGAGAAGAGTACTCTTTTACCACACACCACACGAAATAACATGAAGTCTACTGCTTGTCTTTTGGACATACCATTTTAAACATTTTGCAGGATGCTTTATGGACATAAACAAGCACAGTCTTATCTTTTTAAAGGGTGGACTGGAATGAGGAAGAATATATCTTTTTGGGCTGTCTACTAGCATACAACTATGTTAGTGTAAAATGAATAGGTGTGGAGTCAAAGATAAAAGAAATATGAAAATGTCCTAGTTACTGCTTCCTTTCAAACCCCTTGGAAGATGCTTCACAACACCATTAATTGTGGAGTTGAGAATAGTTTGCTTTAATACACAATGTTTGACAACTAAGACAGCATGTGCATTCTAATTTCATTTATAAAATCAAATGAGGTCTTGGGACCAGCAGTTAGCGTAATGGCTATGTCACTGGACTCCCATATAGTTAACCACGGTTTGTGTCCCAGACCCGGTGGCTTAAAACTCACGCCGGGCGCGTGTGCATGCGTGCCCAAGATCCTGAGAGGAGAAGGGAGGAGAAGGAATTGTGGTGTGGCCATCACCCCTGAGGGGTGATTTCTCACTTTCTGTCTCTCTGTCTCTCTCTGTCTGTCTGGTGAGCGCACGTACCCTATAGTAAAAACCTCTCCAGAAAAAAAAAAAAATCGAATGGGGTCTTGTCATTTTTCATAATGCCATGATGGCTAGTTATTAGTAAAGCTCTAGATAACAAAATGGTTTACTCCTTAAGTATTAACCAAAATGACCCATTGTGCTTGCAAGCTTGACAAGTATTTTGTTTTGTTTTTTTGGGGGGGGATGGGAGGGACACTCTTTGGAGTCATGCTTTGCATTTGCTCCACTGGATTGACTCCAGAAACTTCTTTGTGTGGATGTAGCTCTCTGAGGTCTGTCTCCTGGGCACAGAATAGGGAAAAGAAGGTTCCAGACTGAATCTGATGAGGTACTGGGCAGCCCAGCAAAAAGAAAATGGGCAGGGGACCAGCAGATTGCATAATGGTTATGTCACTGGACTCTCATGTAGTCAACTGCGTTTGAGTCTGGGACCTGGTGACTTAAAACCCACACTGGGAGCATGTGTGTGTGTGCCCAAGATCCTGAGAGAATGGAGGAGAAGGGATTGTGGAGTGGCCATCCTCCCGGGAGGTGATTTCTTACTTTCTGTCTCTCTGTCTCTCCAGTGAGTGCACATGCCCTATAGCAAAAGTCTCTCTCTCT